GAGAAGTTATATGCAATTTCTTAATAGGCTTGGTAAATTGCCATTTATTTTGCTCTTTCTTTTCTCCCAATCCACGGAAGTTGCAGTTGAGGGGCAGTTCTTTTCTTCCATGCTCCAAGCAGTGTTTCTCAACCTTAATATGGCTGGCTGGGGAATTTTGGGAGTTGCAGTTCATACTTCTCAAAGTTGCCAAGAAATACTGCTGTAAAATGTCAATGAATGAATGTAGAATCTTGATACCAATGACACTTCTAGAATTCACCGAACTGTTCCATGCCATCCTATTTTTATTCATTTTATTTATTTAAAACCTCTGTCAGTCTTGCGTGTGGGGTAAAATTCCTACAGTCAAGTGTATTATGCTTGCAAGTTGTACTGCATTTCACGTTTCAGCCAATATAGAAAGTATCAAAAATATGTCTCTAGTTTGGTAAAAAGTCTGAGATTTAAGACTTTCTAGATCTCAGTTGCCCTGGTTGAACCAGCATTGGTTGCGGTTGCAGTCATAATTCAAATACAACACTGAATGATGCAGCTTTTCTCAAAGGAGCAGAAGCAATAGAAAGGACAAGGAACTCTACTGTATCTATACCTGCTCCCAAATGTAACTGAATGGATTCCTTTTAGGAGAAGTAGACAAAGACTAAAGAAGTGCCTTCTAAAAGGGAGATTTTAAGTTTTTATCACACATTTAAAAAAATCTCTATAATATAAAGGTGGTTTATTTTGCTTACTCCCAGTCATTGCTTACCTTTTGTTATTCTATTCTACTCTTTATCCAATACTACTTTATTTATCTTCCTACATTCTATCCACTTATCTCTACAATCTAATCTTCTTTCTCACTATATTAGCTTATTTAAACCGTTCCAATTTATTTTTCCTTTGAATTCTGCCTGGACCACTTCTCTTAAGCTTTTCTACATCCCTCTAATCCTTTCGATCCACCTGCCTCACAATTACCCATATGGCCTAGGAGACCAGATCCTGAGTGGAGGCTGGTATCCATGTCTGTTTCTTTCTTGTGTCTCAAAAGTTGTAATAATAATTTCAGGCTTTCTGATCCATCCTTCCTTCCATCCCTCCACCTTTGTGCTATACCAGGGTTACTGGAATCAGATGCAGCCTCATAGTGTTATTGTACTTGCTGATGCCACCTTGGCAGCTGTTCTGGTTAGGAACAGACTTCATTCTGATGGGAAGGGCCCCAATTTTCCCCTAGACTCAAGCTATGTTATCTTTTCTTCTCAGGGTAGCTTCAGTTCTCAGATGGTCTTCTACCTGTTTCGTTAACTTTAAAGCTGTTTCTCAGTCCTCCAGAACTGAAGTTACAATGATCACCAAAGGAAGTATGTGACTGGTTCCAACTTTATTGTGAAGCCTCAGATGTACTTACAGTAGCTACATCGTATACTATGAGGTTCAAACCTTTTATCAGAAATTGAAATCATGAATCATTTCACTTTAAAAGACTATATAAAATGCATTATCTTTTACGAGTGATCCAGACTATTAAGCTGTATCTGCTTTATTTTTTTTTCTGGGTGTGTCTTTTCTAAGAACTGCTTTCAGTGGGTTTGTTTGCTTGCCTCCTCTCTATTGAACAATGGCTTCAGTTGCTGCTCCCTCTTCGGTCCTTCCCCTAATTCTGCTGGAAGGCTGTTGCCCTCCTGCCACTTGGAGAAAACCAGCAAAAAGAAAAAAGGGATGCAGTATGGGAGTTGGCCATCAGCCCATTCGTTTCTCCTTCCATATGGTAATACTGAAGGGAGCATCTGGGTTAAAATAAGTGGAGGGATAACTATAAGCAGTACTATAATTAGCAGGTAGCATTATCTAATCAACCAAGGGCAAGATGTGGATGATGTCTTCCAAAAAGGAGCTGCAGATCTTTCAAAGAGGCAGGAAGCAATAGTGATGAGCCACTTTAATTACTTCAAGATCTATCAATCATGTCATCCTCAGAAATTCCTGACTTATCTAGCTGGCAACTTTTACTTTCAGGGAATGGGAGACTGCACAGGAAGATCAATTATCCTTGACTTGATACTAACCAAGCAGAAAGACTTAGTTGAAGAAATGGAAATGTAAAATTCTTGTGTTATGGAAAATAATAGGGAGTGTGGGCAAATACTTTATCTTGAATTCCCTAAAGTTCAAGATAATAATCTTAGAGAACTGAGAAACAGTATTTTGCACATGGGGACACTAATGGCAAAAAGAGTTTGAGACATGGCAGAATGGCTTTAAAGAATAGATAATGAAAGCATGACTGCAAAGAATTTCAACAGAAATAGAAGATGACAGAAGATACTAATGCGGGTACAGAAAAAGCCTAGTGAGGATTGCAGCACCCCAAGGACATGTATAGAAGGTGGGAAGAAGGCCATGTCATCAAGAAAGAATGCATAGAGAAGCCTGGATATCTAGAGATGGTGTCAGAAAAGCTAAAAATCAATGCAAGTTCAAATTCAGAACAATGGAAAGGGCTTTTTCTGATACCTTCAAAATACAAGGAAGATTTTTTTTTAAAAAAAATCACTAGCTTCTGAATGAAGATAGCAAAATGCTAAAGGAAAAGGAAAAGGTAGAGCTACTTAACTCGTATTTTGACACAGCCTTCCCCAACAAGAGAGCACACATTCCACCAGGCAGCTGAGAAGAAGAAATTAATAGGCAGGATGGGTTGAAGTTGATAGAAATATAGTCAAGGGATAGTTACACTATTTACTAGGTGAATTGCATTTTAGGCACTGAAGGAAATTGATGATGGCCTTGTTGAACCTTCTCTTATTTTTGGACAATGGGTAGTGCCAGATACCGTAATTGAAAAAGGGTAAATGTTGCTCTTATCTTAAAAAATAAAAGTGGGGTGGGAGATATTCAAGCAACTTTAGACCATGCAACTTGACCCGATACCTGAGAAGAATCTAGAGCTCATCATAAAGAGACATTTACTTCTTGCTCTGATTCTGTAAGATGGTTTCCTAGCCTTTTCTGTTTCCCTTTTTAATGGAATTGGGCATTTCCAAAGTCTTAATCCAAATGTCACAGAAGATCTCACAAACTTTGTCAACATTTACTGCCTGACAGCTGAGGAATGACTCTGAGGATTTGCTGCATTGTGTACTATCTTCAAGGGCTAAGCTATTGCTCAATTGCAGATGAAAAGATGAAAAGAGCCACTGTCAATCCTATAAGGACAGGCAAACATGGGAGCAATGGTCATCTTGCATGTGTATGTATGTGTGTGTGTGTGTGTGGTTTTCTATCTGAATTTCCAGCTCTGTCACTGAAGCCTCCAGTTCTTTCAGTTATGGCAATAGATCAAGATATATGACTGTGTTATCCCACCCAACTACCTACATAAAGATACCTCTGAGGTTGGCTTCTCTCCCAGATCCCAAATGAGTTAATCCCTTATTGAGTAAATTCTTTGCCTGCTGTCCACTGCCTCTTTCTTTTTCTCTCCTCCTTCGTGTCAGCAAATGATGAGAGCAGTGGGCAGAAAATTGGTGTGAGATCTATTTTTGGGTTGTCTGCTCAATTTGCACTGAGGAATCACTCTCAGGAATCTGTTGAGTAATGAGAGAACATAAGGACTAAGAGAAGAAAAGCAATTGCCAAGTCTCAACCCTAGTTTTAAGTGTTCCATGCAAACCACTTAACTGTAATGTGGAAACAGAAAAATGAGTACCTCTCTCTGTACATTATGCTTTTTACCAGTAATGAAGAATCATGGATAAGTCCTCATGCAAATATTTGATAGCCAGTGTGGGTATGGAGTAGTGAATAAGATGCTCTCATCCCCAGTGGAGGAAAACCAAGTTTGACTCCACTCTCAGCCCTGATACTATAGTACTAATAGTAATAGGTGCCTTGGATGCAATCCCAAAACATCTGAAGCACCACTTGAACACCATCAGCATTGACAAAATCACCATTTGTCAATTGCAAAAAGCAGCTTTACTTGGAACAGCTTACATCCTGCAACAATACTTTTAAGACCATCAAACAATATCTGCCTATACCGGGTCCTTGGCGAAGATTGGATACGCAGACAAAGAATCAAATTCAGTCTAAACAGCTGGCTGACTTTGTGAACTATAATACTTTTTTTAAAAAAAATAGGTCATGCTTTAAGGCAAAAGCCCTCCATATCAAAGATTTTGGTTTACAGAATAGAGAGGATAATTCAAGAAAATGCAAAGTGTAGAAACTCTCAATCAACTGAATGGCATCATATAAATTACAGCCAGCTACAACATAGAATCATAATATCCAAATAGTTGTTATCTGCCTGGTCAGCTCATAATGGGGGGGGGGAAACCCATGCAAATCAGTTACAACTAAGAAAAAAGAAATTGGAATATTGAAAACAATAATGGAATCCATGAATATGTTCAGTCTGTCTGCTTATCATCAAGAACAGACCAGGACAACAATTTAAGTGTACTTTCTGGTAGGCAAATAAGTTAACAGTTGATGAGGATATGTGCCCAACCATGCCAGAGTGCCTATGATGAAATATCTAGAAAGTCTTCTGAGACCTTGGAAATTGGCTGAAAGTTAGACTGAGCTATTGCAATGCTAAAGGTACACACGGTGTTCCACCCAGCCCCAGATTTTGGACACACCTCATACAAAGTACCTTCCCATATTCCAAGCCATGTATTGCACATTTCATTTTATTACCGAAAGCAATGGTAATCTTCCACGTTCCACATTCCAGCCTTTCCTAATATAATTTGGTTATTCTATAATCCATACATAGTTTGCTTTGTAAGCTACTTTAACAAACAAGTCATAACATCATGGCAAACAAATCATATCTTTCCTATTCTTAAAATAGATAACTGGATTTATAAAACCGGGCAGTCTCATTTTCCAATTTCATGTCTCAACCATGCATTGGAAATCCTCTCCATCCAACACATCATAAAGAAGATAAAACAAGATTAAAATGTTAAACCAAATAAAAAGAGCAAGCTAGAGGGATATTAGATCCATTCACTGAAGGAAAAGCATAGCTGAACAACTTGCTGAAATGTGACTGTGGAGCAGGTGTTTAATTTCTTCATCCCAACTGAAGGACAGTTTCTTTTCAGAGGCAACTAAGAAATGACATAATTCCATTTCTGCGTTTCTGTAATTCCTCCTAATTCTTAGAGTCCTTCCAGTTACATACCACATATCTGGATGAAACAATATTACCCAGAGTTATACAAGATGACCTTATGATTGGGAATTACAAAATGATGATTACAGGATACTGAAACATTTTTTAATAAGAAAAAAAAATATCAGGTCACCCAACTGTACAGGATTTAAGATCCCAGTGGCTGGATGATCACTTAGGCTGTCTCTTATTCACAGTTCCTTCCAAGGAAATTAGAATTTGGGACACAATGGAGAGATTATCCTCTTTGAGGACGATTATACAATATAAAAAATAAATACTGTCAGAAGGGTAACAGGTGGGTAAAAAAAAAAAAAAAAAAACGATCCAAATCCGCTCGGTGACAAGGCTTGCTGTCTGCCTGCCTGCCTGCCTTCGGCGTGCCGTCCGTCCCCTGCCGCCAGGCACCCCTGAAGCTTCCCCTCCACCACCGCTGTGCCTCGCCTTGGCTTCCCCCGCCGAGCGGCGGTTACCTCGGCCCGCATCTCTGCGTAATGACGCGCGGGAGGCAGGCGGGCCAGGATGGGGAGAGGAGCGAAGAGGAGGGCGAGCGCGAAGGAGGTGGGCAAAGCACGAGAAGAGGAGGCGGAGAGGAGCCGAGCAAGCTTTTAAAGCGACAGCCGAGCCTCCCCTTCGCCCAGTGCTGAGCTGCGGCAGGAAAGGCAGCGCGGGCGGGCAGAGCGCCGACGGCAGCAGGCGCCGGACTGGACTCGACTCTCTTCCCCGCCTCGACGTTCTCCGCCCCCGGGGGAATCCTCGCCGATCGCAGGGGGGCGCGCGGAGGGACCCCGCCGGATCGGGCGCTTCTCTTCACCCAGCCCTGCCCTGCCCTGCCCTGCCCTGCCCGCTCCTTGGCGTCCTCCTCCGCCGGCTCAGCCGCCTTCTCCGCTCTCGCCGGGCACCATGCTCGGGCCGGGGCTCCGCGGGGTGCAGCCGCTGACTTTGCCGAAGTTGCCCTGCTGGTGCCTGCTGCTGGAGTGGCTGTGCTGGGCGGGGGCGCGGGGCCAGGAGATGTACGCGCCGCACTCCATCCGCCTGGAGGGGGACATCACCCTGGGCGGCCTCTTCCCGGTGCACGCCCGGGGCTCGAGCGGCGTGCCTTGCGGGGACATCCAGCAGCAGGACGGCGTCCACCGCCTGGAGGCCATGCTCTACGCCCTGGACCAGATCAACAGCGACCCCGAGCTGCTGCCCAACGTCACCCTGGGCGCCCGCATCTTGGACACCTGCTCCCGGGACACCTACGCGCTGGAGCAGTCGCTCACCTTCGTCCAGGCGCTCATCCAGAAGGACACCTCCGACGTGCGCTGCACCAACGGCGAGCCGCCCGTCTTCGTCAAGCCCGAGAAGGTGCTGGGGGTCATCGGCGCCTCGGCCAGCTCCGTCTCCATCATGGTGGCCAACATCCTCAGACTCTTCCAGGTAGGACGCGTGCTCGGGCGGCAGCTCCAGCAGCAGGTGGCTGGCGAGAGCCGAGCGCCGGGCGGGAGACCCAGGGCTTTGATGGAGGCGGATTGCACAGCCGAAGAGGGAAAGATAAAACGAGCGTGCGCGGGAGCGCTTTCAGCTCGCATTTCACTTGCCTAAGCCCCCTCCCCCTGTGGCTCCGCCGTGCTTTGAGGCGAAAGCACTAACAATGCAGTGGACCCCAGGCTACCTGCCTGCAGTGCCAGTCCTCGGTTTGCTTTCGGGCCCACACTCCTTTCTCCAGGTAGTTTTTCTCGTCGACCTACCTTCCGGATTTCTCTTTTGCTGGCTTTCCCTTTCGAGCGCACTATCTCTGCGAAAAGCCGAGTATTTGGGACGGGGGGGGGGGGCTGCCTCCTGGACAGGCATTTCCTAGGCGTATGGTTCCAGGTTCAAAAAGCGATCGGAATCGTGGCGTTTGCGCGGAATGGAGTTACTGGGGATGAAGACCAGTGAAAAGATACCTAGGGATGATGGCAGTGTGGTTCACGTTCGGCTAGCATTACCACTTGGTAAAGAATGCGACAGTGGTTCTGTCATGGCTTTTCTTCTCACCACCGAGCAGAGAAGCAACTGCCGTGGTTTCCTTCCGCAGTTTCTAGGGAACAGGCCGCCTTCTAGGGGTTACGGTGCTTAATTGCTCCAAGTGGCTACAGGAGAACTGAATTCGGCCGTTCTTTAAGTTAATGGCGTCGCTTGTTCTCCTTAACTTCCCTGTAAGCATCTGGGGGAGTGGGGAGGGAATATAAAGTGAACTTCAGTAAATGTCGTCAGCGACGTGTGCTGGGCCACTTCCTCAAGGGGCGTGCAAATTGGTTAACCAGAAGAGCGTTCAGTATATATTCCAACGCACAGATGAAATGATGGCTGGAGCGATCAGGAGAGCAATTAGCCTGTTCTAATAAGACACTTCGTTAGTGGTAGATCTTTGGAAATCCAAACCTCTTCACTTCAACGCTTTTCAGAGCTTGATCTGTTTCTCTGGCAACGTAGCCAGTTTAGCAAGTTGCTTCAATGAACGCTGGGAAGAAGCGTTCTCCCGCCGCCTGTAATGCCTCCCTCGAAAGGAGCGAACTGGGAGGAGCAGGGCGTGGGATGCCGAGCGTGTGGTAGGTGGGGCTACGAAACCTTTTATTCCACGTGGCTTGTCTTATTACTGCGGCCGAGAGAGCCTGTGCCTCGCTTCCCAAACCGAATTCTCCCTCGGGTGCTAAAGATTCCGCAATTGCGTCGAAGCAGTTGCCAAAGTAAGCGGTTCTCTTCCTCGGAGACTCACGACTCCGTCGCGGTCTGAAACTACGCCCTTCCCCATACTTCGAAATCTTAAGCAGTTCGAACAACTGTCGACTTGGATTCAGTACCGATTCTTCAAAAGCAGTTGCTCTTAAACCTATGTTTTGAGTGACGCCACTTTTCATTCTGAATGCACCTCCCCCCCCCCTCCTTTTTGAGGAAAGATTACCAGGGTGCGCCGAAATTACTCCACGCTAGGCGGAGAGCGAGAGTCTGGCTTGGAGGTCCTTTGAGGAGCAGAAAAAAAAGAACCGCTTTGAGCGGACGAGGAAAGGCTGCGGGGTGCCCACTTGTAGCCTGCGCCGAGAAGCTGAGCTCAGCCGGTAGGGAGCTGTTCAGCTCCAGGGTCCTGAATTTGTCTCGCTCCTCCGCCAGGTCTCTCTTGCTTTCTCGTTTTCTTTCCTTGCTCGCCTCGCTCCTGAACACCTTCCATTGCGAAGAGGTGTCTTGGCCCTACAGAGAAGGAGACTGGTCAACATTGCCAACCCTCGGCTCTTTGTGATCTCCTTGGTACCCTAAAGCAGGGATTTTCAAACGTGGCAGGTAGCTGGGGAATTATTGGGAGTTGAAGTCCACAAGTCAAGTTGCCAAGTTTGGAGATCCCTGCCCTAAAGCAACAGAGAGAGGGGCTTGAAAGTGCTTCCCTTTGCTGCTTGGTCTCTGGGCCTCAGGGTCTGGTGGTCTGTTTGTGGGCATGTTTTCTCCGGAAAATACCTCAGCCAGTCTCATGCCATTGCAGCAAGCAATATTTGGAGAAAATAATTTGGGGATCTTCTATTGATCCAAGCAGAAGTTATCTTCCTTAAGCCAACATTCTTGGAAAGAAACAAATTGTTTAGTGCAAAATAGGGCTAGAATCTGCGTGGTTGATCTCACACAATGATTGATGGATTGGTTATATGCGACCAACTGTCAGAAGGTCTCACAGATATTAATTGCTTAACTAATATCTGACTAGAACAACCATAGAGATTTAAAACAGGGCCACAGCTTTATTAATACTGGTTACTGGTGTTTGAGAAGTTCTGTAATCCTTCGAAAAGTCAGAGTTACTCAGTCAGATGCCTTGAGACACAATCAAATCTATTCCTAGACTTTGGGCCACCCTTTATGATGTTGAGAAGTTTACATCCTCTCAAGATTAAAGTGACCATTCAGCCTCAAGCCCAATCACAAACATTCTAAAATATCTTCCCTTCATTATTTGCTGAACTACAAATGAATCAGCCACATTCACATGCATATCAATTAGCCCTGCAAATTTCCAGTGTGGAATAAGCAAAGGATCTTAGAACTGCTATGTGTGTGTGTGTGTGTGTGTCCGTATCTGAAAATAGTCAAGGTGACAATTGCAGCTGTTTGATCTAAACCCCATTCTTTTTCTGTGTGCTTTGATGTTGCATGCACCTTTAAAAGGGGCACATTTATACAATGCTATAGATACCGTCACCCTTTGTCTCCCTGCCCCCATGAATGCTGCTATTTGAGGAAAATGTGTCGGGTTCAGATGCAACCAACTAATCTCATACTGAAACAAAAGCAAAAACAGCTTTTCCTCCAGTCTCTGGTTCTTTCCATGTAAAAATGAAACAGTTTCACAATGGCCTCAGCATTCTAGATATTACATAATGTAGCTTCAGGTCAAGCTGTTCAATTTCCTGTTCATGAGAAACTTTTGTGCAAAAGATGCTGCAGATCAGCTCTGTTCTCTTTGAGTCCCAGGTTACTTTGGTAGAGCAATGTCATGAAGGAACAAAAAATGCTGTCTGGATTGCTCTGACAGATTATGAATATTTTAGAAATCAGGTGCCCATTACTGTAATTAGAGGTTGATGTCTTGTCTTTATTCTTCACACCCTGTTCTTGAAACTCTATGCTCTCTTCCCTACCATGTTGCCACATTTGAAAGAAAAAATGAGAAATAATTGAGAGGAGGCAAAAAGATGAAATGGAGCACTGATACCAAAGTGTTTAATTGGAGGGGACAAATAGATGTGGAAGAGAAAGGAAAGATCTTTAAATGGACTTAATTTTTCTATAGGCTTGCTAGCTTTTGGAATAAACAATTTAGGTAAATATGAAAACAATTAAAGAACACCACTCAAATGTAACCTTTCATTGAAACCATAACTTTCTAACTAGACTTGGGCAAACTACTCAAACTAAACTTTTTTCTTTGAAGACATTTCACTTCTCATTCAAGGAGCTTCTTTTAGCTCTAACTGGACAATGGGGAATGGAAGGATTTATACTCCTTGCAGACAGCTGGTCATTTGCATTCTTTTAGCGAGTCGTTTATGCCCCTGGAGGCTTATCTGTGTCATCAGGGTCACCTGAGTAGTGCAAATGGGTGTGGAGCCTTCTTGGAACTGTTGAAAGGACTGTTGTCAACTCTACAACGAAGCTGGCTGCAGCCATTTTTTTCATTCTAGGTTGCTACAAGAAGGGAGAGTGGGAGATGGTATTCCTGGTAGTCTAAACATGAGAAACTCTTGTGGGAACCAAAGTTCATTCCCATGCTAAGTCAGAAAGCCTGCCAAGGTGTTCTATTGGGTAGTATGAATAGAGGGGTCAGAATTGTTACACTGTATTACTTTGATTCTTGGAAGGAAAGTTTAGATCTGGTTTCACTTTTGAATGTGCCAATTTGTATCCAATAAACATGTTCTTTGAGTTACTTTCTTGCCTCTGATTTATTTGGCCTCATTGATCAGAACCTCAACAACTGTGTTGTATAGACTGGAGATAGATGATGTCATATCCCTCCTCCTCTATTGAGACAGGGCTGTTCAGTTTTGATATAAATGGCCACTTTGACCCCTCTTTCAAACCAGTGGTCCTCTCTGTGCAAACTGTGGACTTTGCTGTCTTTAAAAGAGTGGCCTTTGTCTTTTAAGTACAGATGGACTACTGAATCTTATCTGATGGGTTTGCTCTCCTATGGTCCTTTTGGACAACTATGACTTGGATGATTGAGAATCTCCATAGATATTTACTCAAGCTAAATATCAATTACAAAATCTCTGCAGTTCGGGTATAATATAAAGATCTGCATCATCAATAATTTGTGATTCATTTTTGTCTCTGGATAATTCAACCAGCCAAATTCAATTGGACATCCAAAATCTGATGCACAACTTTTAACAGAATCAAAACTATAACAGATAGTACATATAATGCTTCAACCCCACCAGGGGTTACTGTACTGTCAGTATTCATCACACTGTGCTCTGGAGCCTTTATGCTTTCCTTTCCTGCTGTGTATTCACATTTCAAAGAAAAATGAAAAAAAAATTGCTAGCGCCACCCTTGGAGCAGCTGAATGTTGTGTTGGATACAGGACAAGGAGATAATGCGGGAAGAAAGACAATGGTTTTAAATAACAGTATTGCTATATGTTATGTCATAGTTTGGAGTTTAGATGAAGGAAGGAGCAAAGGAAGCCCCAAACAAGACTGTCTGCCTTTCCCATCATATTATTTAAGCAAGGAACTCTCATGTAATCTCAAGGCTCTTCTTCATAGCTTGGATATAATGATACTATCTGTAGGCTTTTATAATAATTGGGAGAATTGATGTTGAACAAGGGTTAATACTGCTGAGTGTGACATAAAGCATGCCTATCAGCCATTCTTGGAGATACACATTTGTCACGATCCCTT